ATACATACATACATACATACATACATACATACATAATATTTTCTAAAAGAAGTTTGTATATGAATTTGCATGAAATTTTTTCAAAAATTACCCAAAATGCATTTTTAATTATTTTAATTATCATCCAGACCTTATCATTATCATTGTTCGCCAACAAATTAAGTAATACTAGTTAACAAAGCATCCTTTTTGTCCTGACATGTTCAATTTTCATGTCTGGAGCACAAATGGGGGAATCCTTTAATGAAAATGTCTTTTTACCATTTTAATGGGACTGAGAGGCATGTACTTAAATTTACCATTAGAATGCATAGAATGCAACAGTCTTTCTTTCAGGTGACACTCTTCCTGAGAGGCTGCCATGTGGGTTCTTTTCTCCAATCATAGATGGAAGGAAGGAACAGCAGGAGAGCGATTCTGTTATAATATTTTATAAGGATGCAGGGCTACTTAGTATTACTCAATATCGCACAGGTGGTAGTTGCTCTTCATTTGTACTATAAAAATGTTGAGTGGGGTTTTTCAGTTATGCAGAGCCCATGGACCAAAGAGAGGAACCAGCTTTCCATTTAATCATTTAACAGGGATATTGCTTGTTTATATAGAGAAAAACAGATACTTTAATGGTTATTCATTGAGCAAATAAATACCAATGCATAGATTAGCCTTACAAAAAAGGTGGATGGACAGAAAAGTAGGATAGCAATGAAGAACAAAAGACAGAACTATAAATATCTGTTTGTTAACCCAGTGTGTTTTGTGAGAATGTTAACTGTTCATGTCATTGTTTTTATAAGAATGCTAAATATTGCTTTATGAAAAGAAAAGAATACTTATTTACGGGGAAAATAATTTTATGTATTTATTTATTTGTCCAGTACGACACAAAAAGTAAAGAGCTTTTATTTTGAAGGGTTAATTCTCTTACACAGAGGAGTAATTATTTCTTACACTTTCAAACTGTAGAGATTTTCAGGTTATTTTTGTTCTTGTTGACTTAAGCCTATTTTAAGATTATTTATTGTAAAAATCCTTTATAACCACAAAGAGAAGCAGACTCTAAAAATTTAACAATTTGAGTGTTAAAAAAGTATTTTAGGACACTTTAAATGCACAAGTCTTCTTTGCGGCAAATAAAAACATCTTTGCAAATCCAGCACCCTTCTTTTAGGGTTATTACAGGTGTTCAACATGTTGTCAAACTTCTTTTCACAATTTGACATGGGTAAACACCAAAGTCATTTCTCACTTTAGGCTTAAAAATGTCAGCCTACTACTTTTTCTTTTCTTTTCTCCTGCAGAATTGTGTTCATCCTGTAGCTGTAACCTTGCTTTATTTTGTGCTCTGAGCCTAAAGACAAGGAGAAGGCTCACTTCCAATCATGTAGTTTTAAGAATATTTTTTTTTTGACCTACATGAAATCTATGGTAATACCATAGTACTGTTCCAGCATTAGTGATGGCAACATACAATCACTTATCCTTTCACAATAAGCATATGGTGAAGAGCAATATGAAAGGTGGTAGGATGAATTTCCCTGAGTGACATTTTTAAAAGAAAGTTTTAAATTGTTGGAGTCATCATACCACAGCCAAGTGCTTAATTTTTTTGAACCTGAATAATCAGATAATCCCTACAAGTTAGAGATAAAAAAAATGTTACAGTAATTGGGTGTGCTTTGGTGGAGCAGTGGTTGGGGCATGCAACCCATGTATGGAGGCCTTGGTCCTTGACGCGGGCGACCCAGGTTTGAGTCCAGCCTGTGGTCATTTCCCGCATGTCTCTCGCCCTCTCTCATACCCCTTTCCTGTGAGCCTACTGTCCATAAAAACGAGCCACTAGTGCCATTTAAAAAATACACATTTTTTTCCCAGTAATACTAATAAAGACACTATCTCAGGTGTTTAAATGTTTTATATTCAAACTTTTAAAGGTCTGCATATTATGACTAGTGGATAAAACATGTAGTTTGAGGCTCTACAGAAAAACAACTATTGTTATTTAAATCTTATTGCTCACACAGGAAAAAGAACAAAACAACTACAATAGGTGATATTATGTTTGGTATTTTGCAGTGACTAAATTAATAATTGTCAATAATGTTTCCTCTTGACCTCCGGAAAATGTTAACAAGACAATGACTATCAGATGAGGTACAGAAAGTAGCTTTCAACAACAATGATTTATCTAATCACAAAGACAAAGGGAGAACAAGTGCTACTATATATGATAATTGGTACTCTGATAAATGGACATCAGCTACAAAAGAACTTGAGCAGCGTACTAAAATGTATGGTAGCAGCTTGTAGTTACTAAATTGGAGTAAATGTCAGATGCTCTACTTAGGTGCAGTTGTGACACTGAGAAGCAGCCAGTAAAAGTCCAAATATTCTACAGAGATGGAGAAAACATACAGGAAAAATAAAATTTTTTAACAGGGTAGTGAATCTTAAGTAGGTTTTTGATTTTGCTGTCGGAACTTTAAATAACGAAGTTAATTTCATGTATTTTTCTAATCTGCAATGAAAACAAGAATTCAGTAATCACTGCTTCAGCTTTCAATAATCGTCTTTTTCTTTTTTAACAAGTTTATGTAGTTATTGTTGTCTGATTGTTGCAATCAGGCGCTGTCTTCGAAAGGATTTGTTTCCAAGAGCAAGAAGGCGTACTTAAGAGGGAGTTGGGGCAACAGAAAAATGATAGAAACAAAGTGAAACTCTTGTGCTGTAAATTGCAATCAGACCTGCTATTTTCATGTTAGAAAGAAAGGAAAAGGGCAGGAGAGACTTCAGGCAAGTATAGAACAAATTAAACCAAATGAACAGGGGCCGCTTGTGTTTTAGAAGAGTTCTTCCAATAAAAACGACAACCTTTATTTACCCAAATAAACCAAACTGAGATCCAAACTCTATTTTTCAAGAGAGATCTTGGAGAGTAGGTATTATTTTAG